TTTTTTTTTTTTTTTTTTTTTCACGAAAACAGAAATTATTCTTTGCTAACATGCATAATTGTCGCAAAACCTTCAGCTCCAACATAGTTGTTAACTATGGCTCCGATTCATGCATCAAGAATTCCACGCTACTGCCGTCTAATCGCATGCTCAAGGGGTCAAAAAGTGGAATCATGGTTTCGATTATAAAAATTACTATATTTTAATTGTATTTTTCTTACTAAGAACAATTTACTTCAAATATTCAAGAGCAAGTAGCGTATAAGCTAATTCCAAATCGAATATAACAAAATATAGCAGTGTTTACAACCTATGATCAACTTTTTGACCTCTTGAGCGTTTGCTTAGAGCAGTAGCGCGTAACTCTTGATGTATTAATGAAGGTGGATTTCGTAAGTCGATAAAGAAGTCACGTTTACATAAATTGCTCGTCACGATACGGCATTCTAGACTAAGCCGCCACGGACTAACGCACACTGCTCATAATCAGAAGTTACTAGCTACCATCGCCCAAAACCTATTGTAGATTTAGATCTTACCAAAGGTGGTCAGTGTAGATTTATAGAAGTTTGATTAGAGTAGAATTTATTAAGCCGACACCTATAACACCCAGCTTCCATTTAGAAGCCAGTTGTCAAAGTTAAAGGAACAGTTCTTGCCGTAATTTGTACTTTTAATAAGCAGTTAACCTATATGTAATTTATCGGCCAGTTGTCAAAGTCCCAAAGAGGGTTTTTTGCAGTAATTTATACCTGTCTTAAGCGACCAACCTCTATTTACCGGCCACTTGACAATTAATAGAGGTTCTACTTCAGTTTCATTCTTACTAATTCTTTCAAAATTGATTTTAGGGATATTATGGAGTGTTTTTGCCATTCAAGTGTCAGTGTCCTCGTGGCCCGCGTGGTCCGAGGGGTTTCAGGGGTCTCCGAGGTCCGAGAGGTTTCAGGGGTCTCCGAGGTCAAAGAGGTGCCCGTGGACTACGAGGTCCCCGAGGTCTAAGAGGTGTACAAGGCCCGCGAGGCTTGAGAGGATTAAGGGGCTCCCGTGGTCCGAAGGGTGCGAGAGGCGCAACAGGTCTTCGTGGCCCAAGAGGCTTGAAAGGCCAAAAGGGCGACCGTGGCCAAAGGGGTCCTCCTGGTCCTGGAAGACGACTAGACTGTAGACCAGTATCCGCAAAAGGAAACAGGGCTCAATGTCCAAGTGGTTTCACCGTGACTGGATGTGCATGTGGTCATAGGTGTGGTTCGTGGAACACAGAGAACGGTAATACTAGGTGCTATTGTCATATTGGTTGTATGAACGGCAATAAACCCTTGGACTGGACCCTCGCTGTCTGTTGTAAAGTAGTGTAACGAATTAGCTTCAGTCCCTACTCTACGAATGAATACGGAACATTGACAATAAACGGAACACCGGTGGCAATTTATGAACATTATGAGCCATTCTGAGGTTGATGAAAAAAACTGGGTCGAGTTGGAATTGCAGTGAATCGTGGGAATGTTTTAGGGGACAAAATAGACGCCATCTTGGAAATATGTCCCCTAAGAAAGTCCCACAATTCACTGCAATTCCAACTCGATCCAGGTTTTTCCTCAACCTTGGAATGGCTATTATCTCCATAACTCGCGTCACAACTCACAAATTCTATTACAATAAAAGCATAAACTTGTTAACAAGCTATAAAAGGTAAAATGCAGTATGTAAAATGATTGCAGTGCAAATTTAGTTTTGTAAGAATATAGAATAAGAATAAAGTTTACCGAAGCATTTATACCGTATCCTGTCGTCTCGTGGGTATAGACAAAGAATTCATATGCAAGGGATTGGCGTGTGATCTAATTTCTTGTGACGCATAAATAAATATTTCGTAAAAGCTTTGGTCATGATTTATCGTCAATACACGTCATACAACCCAAAATTTAATTTCCATTGCGGACTTGAAAGAGCTTGATTTCAAAAGCTCTGAATCGATGGATATATTTTTCTAACAACTCGAATATGTATCTTTTATTTATAATGGATTAATCATATCGGCTGCTTGAGGCTATCGAGAGGGGACTGGGAATCAGGAAGAATGGGATGGAGGCGAGAGACTGGGATAAAGTCTTGGAGACACAGCGCCGTCGCATTGCATTTCAACCATGCCGCCTAAATATGCATATTAGGGAGTGTTAAATATATGTATGCATTAAGTCTTAGATCTGAAAAAGGTGCAAGTTTCACGTTTGACATTGCTCATTGAATAGTCACGGTGATTACAAAAAAGTGGAAGCAAGCTGGCTGGATGGATGGATGGATGGATGGATGGATGGATGGATGGATGGANCTGGATGGATGGATGGATGGATGGATGGATGGATGGATGGATGGATGGATGGATGGATGGATGGATGGATGGATAGATGTTTGGATGGATGGATGGATGGATAGAGCAAGTATACTTCCTGTAAACTGAAGCGGTCCTGGTAAGAAAAGATGAAAGCCCATACAAGAGACTGGCGCGGGATCTGAAACAGGAAAGCAATTGCGTTACACTTCCACGACAGGCCATGATAAGTGCTCTTTCATCACCAGTACACAATCTAATATGCAAATCGTGCAGCAATCTTACGTGATTTATAAAAAGGACTATGCTGTTTTATGAATGTCAAGGCATTTTTGGCAACGGATTTGGAGGGTTCAGGCCTCTCCCTACCCCTTGCTCTGCAGTGACGCAAGCAAGAGGAGGTAGAATTTGCCCTCTGGCCCCTCAAGAACTGTAGGGTACATTGGCATATACGTTAATGTATATATAAGATAATGTTTGACCTTGCCTTGTGATGAAGGCAGAGCACTTGCCTGGAGCCATGACTTTCTTCGTGCTCCATAGCAGCCAATGCATCATGCTTTGGTTTGAAATCTGCATGTTATTAGCACCGGTCGCAAGGGTTCAACTGCTCAAGCACTGACAATGCAACGAGGAGAGACCAAGCAAGCCTAACGAGGGGTTCTATTTTTCAATTTCTTCATTATCTTTGCAACCTAAAAAAAAAAGAAAGAAAAACAACTCCAAAAGCAAAGCGTACACTACACAGCTTGGATCAGTCAGCAAAGAGGCTATCCCTTAAAGTCCAAAATCAACCAGTCTTTATTATCTATTTCGCTAGTTCCTTTGAGTACCCAAATCAATATTCAGCTTCAAACTGTCAGACCAAAGGGAAGGACATCAATTGTAACCTTTTGAAAAATCCATTTAGATTGATATACACATATTTATAGATTTATAAGTTTCGGTTTGAATTCATAGAATGTTTGTTTTCTTTTCTTAAATGACCAGCTCTTTCAGCTCATTCAACTCTTTCCTTCAGCATTTTCAGTTTCAGCTTTTTACCGCAACCCTTATTCGAGTCAGCGAATAGGAACATTTTGAGGCTTAGGTCACGAAAACCAAGCATATAAAACGCTTGCCACTCCTTGTGCTTTAGTTGGCTTGAATCGATCCTGTTGTGAAAATGTCGCTGAAGTTAGCATTGTTGTTACTGCTTGGTTTGTGTGCTCTCGCCTTGGCTGTCCCTGAAGGAGCAGAGCCACAAGCAGATGCCGTTGCCAGACAAGATGCTGGTGCTGGAGAATCACAAGAAGTAGCTCCCGCAGACGAGGAAAAGGAAGAAGAAGAAACACAAAGCGATGAACGAAACGACGGATCAACTTTGGTGGAAAACAACGGCTCTATTGGTGAGCAATAGCATTATCATCTATTTCTTGTCAATTCATTGCCTCCTTATTGATCAATTAATCAATAATTATTCGATTAATTAATATTTTATAATCATTATCTACATTTTCTAATCAGTTACATAATATTTAATAAATACCTTCTGTTGATTTTATGAACAGATTTGCAGAACATCGAGGATGATGTCAAGATATTTCGACCTGGACAATCCATACCCAAGGTTTGTAGCATCATTTGTTTTATTCATACGTTTTACGAGTTTGTAAATCCATCTTAGTTTTAATTTTTGAACACACTCAAGCAAAACCCTTCAACTATATCTTCATCATGTCATGATTGTGAATATGGCGCTAAATTCTTTAAATCTAAAAAATATATATTTCACGCACTAAAAACTTACTTCTACTACCGTTGTAAGGCAATTTGAATTTAATTTTTATTTTGGTCTATGGCTATCCACATTTAAGTGGCATTGGTTGGCATTTGGTCATTGAGAATCAAACAAGTGGAATGTCCAAAATAGCCTCTACACTCGATCAGAAATTTGACGCTGCGTACAGTTTTTCAAACATAATGAAAATATTCACGTCTCTAAAATCGTTTGCAAACAGAAAATTGTCCGTACCAACCTTCCGTACCAATGCATACATCAAGAGTTGCACGCTACTTCTCTAAGCGCATGCTCAAGGAATCAAAAAGTGGAATCATAGTTTCGATTATAAAAATTATTATATTTCAATTTCTTTTTCTTATCAAGCACAATTTACTTCAAATATTCAAGAGCAAGTAGCGTATAAGCTAATTTCAAATCAAATATAACAAAATACAGCAATGTTTACAACCTATGATCCCACTTTTTGACCTCTTGAGCATGCGCTTAGAGCAGTAGCGCGTAACTCTTGATGTATTAATGAAGGTGGATTTCGTAAGTCGATAAAGAAGTCACGTTTACATAAATCGCTCGTCACGATACGACATTCTAGACTAAGCCGCCACGGACTAACGCACCTCTTACTCGTCGTAGTCAGAAGCTACTTACTAGCGAACAACGCCCAAAACCTATTGTCGTTTTGGATCTTTTAAAAGGTCGTCAGTGTAGATTAAAAATTTACTTTTATTAAGCCGACACCTAATAAGTCGGACCAGCCCCTATTTAGCGGCCTGCAGTTGTCAAGAGGGTTTTTTGTAGTAATGTATACCTGTCTTAAGCGACCGACCTCTATTTACCGGCCACTTGACAATTCCTCAAGGGCAGCCGCTCAATAGAGGTTCTACCTCAGTTTCATTCTTACTAATTCTTTCAAAATTGATTTTAGGGATATTATGGAGTGTTTTTGCCATTCAAATGTCAGTGTCCTCGTGGCCCGCGTGGTCCGAGAGGTCCCACGGGTCCCAAAGGTCCGAGAGGTTTAAAGGGTCCCCGAGGTCAAACAGGTGCCCGTGGACTACGAGGTCCCCGAGGTCTAAGAGGTGCACAAGGCCCGCAAGGCTTGAAAGGGTTAAGGGGCACCCCTGGTCCGAAGGGTGCGAGAGGCGCAACAGGTCTTCGTGGCCCAAGAGGCTTGAAAGGCCAAAAGGGCGACCGTGGCCAAAGAGGTCCTCCTGGTCCTGGAAGACGACTAGACTGTAGACCAATATCCGCAAGAGGAAACAGGGCTCAATGTCCAAGTGGTTTCACCGTGACTGGATGTTCATGCGGTCATAGGTGTGGTTCGTGGAACACAGAGAACGGTAATACTAGGTGCTATTGTCATATTGGTTGTATGAACGGCAATAAACCCTTGGACTGGAC